ACTGTTCTCTATCTACACGGGGGCCATTTACAACGAGTGCTTCAGCAGAGGCCTCAGTCCCTTCAACTCAGCGTGGCACGTCGCCCCGATGTTCGAGAAGAACATATGGAAGTGAGGACATTTCATACCTTTTTGTTTTCTCCACACGCACACACATGTTGCTTCTTGTCCATCTTACTTGATTGTATGATTTCTTTCAGTGCATCAGTCATGGCGAAGAACCAGTACTTGTCCATGGATCCGGTTGTGTCTGGTGTTTTCACCACCCCGTATCCATTTGGCATTGACCCGGTATGGCCGTCACACTCATCAGACATTTTCTTTCATGCTGTCATCTTGTTTGTCACTGCATCCATCCTCATTCTCTCTGGTTTTGTGTCGTTGTCAGGTCTGGGGGCTGTCCAACAACAAACTGACTTTCCTTAACTCGTACAAGATGAAGATGTCGGTCATCATCGGTGTCATTCACATGACTTTTGGAGTCTGCTTGTCATTCTTCAACTATTGGTATGTAGTGCTTTACTTTTTTGGTACACCTCCATTCTTGATTCTTTCTGACTTGCCTTCACACATACTTGTTTCGCTGCTTTCCCGCTTCATTGTTTGTGTTTTTCCACAGGCACTTTGGCAAGATAGGCAGTGTGTTCTTTGTGCTGATCCCTGAACTGTTCTTCATGGTGTGTCTGTTTGGCTACCTGGTGTTCATGGTGGTCTTCAAGTGGATCGCCTACACTCCTGTCCAGTCCAAAATCGCACCCAGTATACTTATCCACTTCATAGACATGTTCCTCTTCACAGACAACCCTGAGAACCCAGCGCTCTATGAGGGACAGGTGTGTGGTTTGTTCATTGTCCTAAACGGAACGTATCATGTTTTACAATTTATCCACCAGCCTTTCTTTAAAAAGTCATAGTTTTTATATGAAAAAGTGCTGGAAACCACTGGTTTTACTTTATTTTGTTAGTACAGTATGAAAATCACCTTGAAGATGCCTGAAACCTGCTAGTTCACAGCGAACATTTAATCTGCTTTATCTTATGTCCAGGTTATTTATTTGTTCCTGGGTTTTGGAGGTGAAATGTATCTTTTTGAAAACTATCTATAATTGGTATAATAATGCGACTCAACAGCTAGTCAGCAGCTGCTTTTATGCATACTTTTTTCCAGTGTGTGCCTGTGTCCTCTGGGTTTTATTAACTTGTGAATGTAATGCTGTTCGACAAATCACTCTGTCAAAGTTTGCCACAAATGCATGGACTTATTAAAACAATCATTGCTTTAACTGCAGTAATAAGCAACAATAATGTAAATGCTGTTCAGTTAAAATGGGAATAATGTGAGTTTGACAAATGGTCCCAGTGATGGAGTATTAATCTTGAGCTAGTTTCAAATCTCTGCAAGTTCAATTTCATATTGTACTATATATGAACTGATACCAGTGAACATCTGGAAGATGGAAATAAAAAGCACTCTAACCCTCCAAAAACCATGGCATGCTTTGGTTTGCATGCTTTCGAAGTAAATGTGCAATCATTTGCAGAAACGCCAGTGTTGTCCTTCAAAATAGCTCGCTAAAGTGAGCACGTGTTCCTTAAAAGCGTAACATACGATCCTGTAACTCTTCATGTGCAGACTGTGGTGCAGAAGGTCCTGGTGGTGGTGGCTCTGTGTTCTGTCCCTGTCCTCCTGTTTGGGAAGCCCACATACGAATTCATCACATTCAAGAGAAGACGACGTCAAGTAGTGAGTCTGCGTTCGACAGAACTTTAACTCTCATTTTAGAGTCGAATGTATTTCCTGACGGATTTCTGGTTCTCTGCAACATCAGGAGGAAGACCGACGTCAGCTGTTGGCCGACGAAGGCTCCGTCAACACTCGTCCGGGGGAGGTCGAGGGACGAGCTGCGGAAGAAGAGGTACGAGAGCCTGATTAACTTCAATTCACTAAATGGATTAAATCGAGTCAGAGATGTGCTGTTGTGATTCTGCAAGTGTTTAATCTGTGCTGTCTGCAGGAGTTCGATGTTGCAGACAGGTTCATGCATCAGGCCATCCACACCATAGAGTACTGCTTGGGCTGCATCTCCAACACTGCCTCTTACCTCCGACTCTGGGCTCTCAGTTTGGCTCATGCACGTTAGTGGCACTCATACTGACACGCACAAACGCAATGTACATACTCACATGATGCACACGCACAGACAGACTTCCTCTCTAAAAACAAACACTCATACTATTCTTTTTTCAGCCAGTTATTTATACACACATGATGATTGTCTGACAGTGATTTATTTGTGTCTCCACAGAGCTGTCAGAGGTGTTGTGGGTGATGGTGATGCGTATTGCCCTGAAGTGGGAGGGCTATGTGGGATCTGTAGTCCTATTTGTGGTTTTTGCCTTCTTCGCTTTGTTGACTGTCGCCATCCTGCTAGTTATGGAGGGACTCTCCGCTTTCCTGCACGCGCTCCGTCTGCACTGGTAAGGATAAGAGGGAGGGAAAGACAAAGGGGAAATATTTCTAAAAATACTAATAAGTAGACTGAATATAAGTAAAATATGTGATAGCGTTTTGCTTTGTCAATGTTTAAGTGGGTTAGTTAGTTATGTTATGAAAAGACCTTTTTAAAACACAAACAAAAAAAACTACATAGACAAGTACATAACTTTTATATTCAACATTACGTTGCAGGCTGCCACAAAGATAGAACACAACTCGATGGTCCAAGCAGTAGAACTCATTAGAAATAAAGGACATTTTACGAAGTACAGCCCTAAAATGAGCAACAATTAAACATGAAATGCACTTCATCTTCACTCTCCCCTAAATCACAAAACAAAGTCTAAAACTGTCTGTTTCAATAGGTAATGGCAATGCACCTAAACATAACTGCACACACAGAAATCTACTTCGCATAAGGCTCTACACTGAAGTAGTTTGTCATCAGTTAATGTTTGCAATTTATTTTTGTACCAAATATATCAACAGACCTTCCCCATAGTGAAGGGGTCCTGTGGTTCATCTCACTCTGCTTATCTGTTGTGTATAAGTTGTGCATCTTGCATGCAAAGTTGACTCTGTGACTTAAAGGTGCTTAAGCTCAGTGAGGCTCCAAAATGAAAAGGTTCATCTTTTAGGTAGGGTGAATGTGCTCAGTACATTCCATATCTGGCTGCACGTTACATTTGGATATTTCTTGTGTGTAAATGGAAATTTGTACTGATCGTGGTGCTAAAGAAAAATGATAAGGTCACCAAACCATCCATCAAAAATGTTCAGCTTCATGTACCCTGTAGAATACACTGGCCGGGATTGTTGATGAAGAGACGTAGAGAGATGGGGTGGGTGGATAGAAATGGATTATGGATTATGTATTGTAGATTGTACTGTTGCATGTTGACTTTGCTTCTCTCTTACAGGGTGGAGTTTCAGAACAAGTTCTACAGTGGAACAGGCTACAAGTTGAGCCCTTTCTCTTTCTCATCGCTGATCAATGCATCAGCTGCTATCTGATCGGCCAAATCATTACTTAGGCTTGCCAAATGGTTATGTTTATGTATGTGTAATATTGAATACTTGGACTACAACGAATGACATCAGAATGACTTTGTCTCCCCGTCTTAACAATGGTATTCTATTGCCTGTAGGCTGTGACATGGTTTAATTGACTTGCACAATGATCACGACCGTAAAGACTGTTATTTTTGCATTGATGAACGAGTCCTTATATAATGAATTTCAATTGCATTATATGAAAGGAAAATACATACTTTTGTATCCCCTTGCAAATTAGTATTTTCACTATCACTGTTATGTGGTACTTTCTAATCGGTCAGTAGCTCAAAAAAATATCAATAATTTACACTGTATGAACTTGTATTATAGACATCAATTATAAAAAGGGATAGGACTCCAATTATTGAATTTGTTCTGCAGTTTAAGTGCACTGGTTCTTATCTCAAGGTTTCTCCGAGCGTTAAGATGAATGGTTGTTGAATTGGTGTATAAGCCAGCCCTGTAGCATTCTTCAATTGATAGCAGGGAATTACATGAATGATTTTCATGAGCCAAAGAACCTTTTTCCTCATTGTCATGTCTTCCGAGAACAACACACAACAGGTATTTATTGGTAGTAAAATGTTTTTTCAGGTGCCTTACAGGGACCGAGGGCTTGTTTATCCTTTAAGTCTTTTGCACAGATAATAACCTCCATTATCATGCCACTATTTTGAACAAAACTCTGCTTGATCATTTTCTCTTTTTTTCCTGCCGGTTTGCACTGTAAAAATGATCAAATTTGAACTGTAATTAAATATGATTTTCTTGTTTAATCTTATTGTGGAAGTCCTTCCCTGAACAGGCTACCTTACTGGTTGTGTAGTCACACTGTTTATTGTGTCACTTTATGTCTTAAACTAATTTGTGAAGTTTCCAATGATGGAAGACGTATTAAAATCCTTATAAGTATAATGAGTAATACCACAGTGTACAAATAGGCCATTACAAGTAAAGTCTAGCATTCAAAAGCTTACTTAAGTAAAAGTAGTACTTGTACTATCCACAAAATATACTCTACACAACAAAAGTACCTATTAGACAGAGTGGGATATGCATAACATTGGATTATATTATTGATTCATTCATTAAGGTGTAACAGACATTTTAATGGAGCTGACTTTTTAACTGACAGTTTAACTACCCTATATACAGTTAGAAGGTTCATCTTTTATAATGCATCCTATTATTAAGGTGATCACATGTTTTGTTGGTAAAATCTGAACTTCTTATTTACTGTCAGATAAATGTAACAGTACAATCGTAGGGTGAAAAGTGCGACTGAAATGTAGTGAAGTAGTGTTACAAGTATAAAATGGAAATAGCAAACTACACACACCTCAAGCCTACTTAAGTAAAGTACTTGTTTAATGTACTTTACACCACTGGAAGTTACTGTGTAGAGTAAATGGGCAGAAATGTTCAGCAAAGCGCATGTTTTTATTCTGTATGAAGAAATGTACGCGGAACGTCCGAAGCGCTCGCGTTTGTTTCTGTCAGCGCTGCTTCCGAAGTAGCACCAAATAAACCGGATGTTGTCTGAATGTCAAAGATGGCGCTCCACATGTCACGGTGAATTCTTATCGAATAGCAAGAGACAAATACTTCTCATGTTTAAGGACATGGCGTACGGTGCACGGCAGCACATTCACTAGACTTTAAGCGGTTGTTTTTATTTATGAAGTGAACACAATTGAGGAGAAGATGGCTTCCAGTTTACGGCTGTTGTTCGGACAAATTCGACGTCCAATTGTGGCTACAAATCAGACGGGTAACGTAAAGTTATTTTTGCCTTTATGCATCATAATCTCAGCTGGTTAACGTATCGCTGGTGGTGTGTTTCTCTGTAGCTCTTGTTTAATGGATCCGCTTGTCTGTCCCCCAGCTCGGTGTCTGAGTCAGGCAGCCACTCTGCCAGAGCCCAGCTCGGATGAAAACGAAGCCGTGAACCCGACCTTTGTGAACAGAAACCCCCGGAACTTGGAGCAGCTGGCCCTGGCTGTGAAGGACCGGGGCTGGAAGACGATCTGGCCCCACCGGGAGTTCTACCACAGGTCTGTGTGTGTGTATGAATAAAACAAAATAAAAATAAAAAACACGTGTTATTCTTTTAAACAGATTCATTTTCCTGTTTCCTGTTGTCAAACAAATAATGCTAATTTAATTAAACGGTGACTGTACATATACGGCCTTAATATAACCAGTTAAATCTGACAGATCTTATTTTCAAGGGAGACCGGAGTACTCTCAATGCATAAATTCATCTTTACCAGGCATTTACTCCTCCAGATCTAAATTCCCTCTTACTTCTGCTGTACCGCGTTTGTCTGTCCCGTGTTTTCAGGTTGGAGTTTTCTCGCACCCAGCATCATGTGACGGCCCACGTGTTCTCCAGCAGCTCTCCTGTCCCGGTGCTTTCCTGCTCAACCAAGGAGTGGGCGCTGAAGCAGGAGCTGGCTTCCACACGCTGCGTGGCGGCGTGTCAGGCTGTGGGCGAGGTGCTGGCACATCGATGCCAGCAGGCTGGCATCACCAGGATGGTGTACAGGGCCATTCCCTGGGCGTACCGCTCTGACGCTGTAAGTACATGCAGCACAAACTGCTGTTAGTAAATCTATTTGTGTGTCTTTTTTCCTCCTTAAGTTATGCTTTTCTCTTTCACAGGTACAGTCATTCAGGGCAGCAATGAAAGAGGGAGGAATCACCCTTAGTGAACCCAGAAGAAAATACATTAGTACCTGAATTTATGTGTCATCTATCACATCTTTTGTTATTTTAAAATGTTCTCTGTATCCCTTACTCTCTGCTCTTTTGTGAATTAAGACTGTATTGTTATTAAGATGACCAGCACTACAGTAAATGATGATATAAAAACAAAAGGAGTGATGAAAGTAAGGTTGCTTGTCCCTGTGCTTTGTCTCTGTTAGAAGAAAACAACTTCAGGTAATATATGACGGTATGTTGGCACAGTTCAGGCCATCACATAGATTACGAAACGTTGTACAAACCAATAAAGGTGGTGGATTAAAGCAAAAGGTGTAAAGTGCTTTTTTTTAATGTTAATATGTATAATATGTAATATATGCAATTATGTTACCGCTTTTATACAAAATCTAAATTTTAACTACAAGTAAAAATTTCAAAATGTATCTCTTACAATGTTTAAACTAGACTCTTTAAGCTCTGCTATAAAATATACTGTTACCACTTTAAAATTATTTTATCCAAATTTTTTAAGTTCCTTGTAGTTTTTATAGTATTCTCTATCCATACTCTACTCATTTACTACAACTTAGAAGAAGTATAAGAAATGTAAAGTAAAAATACTAATTGAATAAGACATAAGCACCAGTCCAACTTCCTGTATACTATGACACTTCATGTTGGTTTTTAAAATCCTCTGAGGTCGAAGTCATTTTTGCTATTTTTGCACGTCAACACTATAAAGCACAATCATGTTATTTACATCTCTTTTTTTCAGGACAAACTGGGCTATCATAAGTATGCTACTGTGATGTCACACAAATGTATAAATAGTAATATCACCATTAAAAACATGTGGATATTGGAAATTATGATATTTAATCAAATCACACATACAATAAGACCTTTGGCTTTTTACATGTGTTCTTCTGGGCCTTGGTGATCAGGGGGGAAATAAACTTTGCAGCCAACACAGATCAAAAACAGCTTACCATACAGAAGGCAAATCATATGTGCAAAACAACTATATATGTGTATATATATATATTCATGTATTGTTCAGTATGCCCTGGGTGCAAACTGTACAATATGTGCACAAAGGATAATCTATATATTTATTCATATTTATTACAATCACAATATTCTTGTCATTATTGTGGTTGCTGCCCAAACAGCACAGATCTTCACGACACCAGGATGGGATGAATGTCATGTGATTCCATCGTGTTTGACTGTCAGCAACACAGCCTCTGATTCGTGGACAGACTTGACCTAACACATCTTGCCTCCAGTAGGCTTCAGCTAATGCCTAACAACAATATCCCAGAACAGATTGTTGGATTTATTAGTTTTATAAAAACATAGTTGTTTCTTGTGGATTACAAAGCTGCTGAAAGGGACAAAGTCCTTGCTAGGAAGCTTCTCCATTATTTATTTATTTACATAGTCGGGCTACCATTCGTGCATGTTTGTGCATGTGAGCTCTCCCCACTGGCTATCTGATGGGAACTCTGCGCTCATATGGCAGTTCATGCTGATAACGACGTCCCTGCTGTGAAGGCGTAGCACCCACCCTCTGGTCCCCCTGATGAACACTGTTAGCCCTGCCAGACTTTCATTTTATATACTACACTATGTCTTTAAGATGACTTTTATCCACATCACTATACGATCAGTTGGTATTACTTTTTTACAATTATAGTATGACTTTTTTTAAAAACTTTTTTCGACATATGTCGAAATAAGTCCCCCAAAAAATTATAGTATATCATTTTTTTGTGGACTTTTTTCAACATACTATGACTTTTTTTCGAACTTTTTTGATATACGACAATGACTTTCTGACTTTTCGACATACTATATTATGACTTTTTATGAGATTTTTTCAACATACTATACAATGGCTTTTTTTGACATACAACATATTACTAATATAAAAATCATGGCATTTGATTGTTGCATTTTCCAGCTGTGTACAGACGGTAGTGTTTTTCAGGTCCACCTCTCCTCACATTGATGTCCTCATCTCAAATCCAGCCAACTGCTCCTCGATTAATACCTCGTCTTTCCTGTGAGATCCAAAAATAGAAGACAAATGAGCTCCTTAAATGGGCTGTAGTGTAGTGTTTCAGGAATTCTGGGGCAATTATTTCAAAACATGTAATCTGGATCAAAATGATCCCAATAATAAAATCTTCCTGTTTTCAGTCAAGTGTATTATTTAGACAGGAAACAAAGCATTTGGTTTGAGTATAATCATTTATTGTTTTCACTCATAGTGTTTGTTGTAAACAAGAGTGAGGTGCAGACAGTGGAGAGCTTCATAGTACAGTGTGATGTTGACTCAGGCAGTGGGGACAGTGTGTGTTGGGGTTATAAAGTGCAGGTGAAATGAAGTAAATAGGCTTTAGCTTGGGTTCACTCGATACAAATAATACCAGCATGAACACAGAATATTCCACATCAGCATCCAGTGATAAGTCTGAAAACAGTATTTTGAATAACTTACCTCAATCCATTAAATGTCTATATCACTACATGAGAAAACCCTGAACGTTTTGCTCTCCCATGTTGGTATAAAAACACAAAACATGCACCCGGCAATTATTTGTTGATACATCTATACTTTGTATTTATGCATACACGCAAACACTTTGAGCAGTCACATTTATACTGTAATCAGAGAAACAGCACAAGACTCGTATACAATATGCAGCCACCACCTCATAATAAAAACACCAGTCATTCATATGTTGTATTTCATTCTCAGGTTGAAGGCACTCGTACAGCCCTGGTGTTTAAGTAGAATGAATACAAATAAAATGGGGGACATTGGTTCTTAACGTACTGACATGATAAAGATTTTTAATTTAATATAATCATTGGCACATTGGAACACACTGTTTGGCAAACAGGCTTGTGCGATAAAACTGGCCCCGACATGATCCGTGAATCACAGCTTAGATAAAGTTAAAACTTCCTCATGTCCACAACTAACGTGAGAGCAATAAGAGACAATATGAATTGTTTTTAAAAACCATCTACCTTGGATTGGCAGCATACAGCCTCATATTTAGAGGAAAAGAAATAGGAACACAGTAATTGCATAGATATCATCTCTGGAGTGGTGATGCGAGAGCTGAAGAAGGGAAGAGGGAACAAGGGGGGGAGAGACCGGTAGGTCTGTGTGTGGTAGGATATGTTATGTAATAATACAGCAATGGACAGTGATAATAACCCATCACATATCCTGGCTTTCATTGGTTTAGCAATATTACAGCAAGATCCTTTTATCAGCAGTGAACCATCAGCGATAACATTATTAACAGAGATATGCAACGAAACATAAATTAAAACTTTCATCATCTAAATAACCTAAAATATAAAGCCAAAGCGTATCAGTGTATACAAAAAAAAAAAAAAAAAAAATCCCCCCCCCCCCCCCACACTATCTAATTCTTCCTCTGCCTCCTTTTAAGGCCCCCCCCGCCCTCCTGTAACTCCCCGCTCTTCCATCCGTTTAGGGTTTGCTTTGACTGGCATCCGGCAGGCTCCGTGGTTCAGGTGAAACATCCACACACGCTCTCTGGTGAATCAGACCCCGCCGCCCTTGGCTACACATCCGCTGCACTGGAGATCGCCTCGGACTGCCAGGCAGCTTGGAAAGCAACAAAGAAGAAGAAGTGTAGTTTATAGAGCAGCTAAATTGAATAAGAATCTCAACACCAGGCTCCTCTAAATCTTCTCAACGTACAAAATCAACCCTTTGTGTGTACAACAACGCAACACCGTAAGGGCTTGAAAGAGACTCCGTCTCTCTGCTTCATCTACCTGTTCACGTCCTTTATCCTCATCACTGATGGACTGCATGAGGGAGAAGAGGTTCATCCTGCCGCTGCGATTAACGCTCGGAGAAACCTTGAGATAAGAAAGAGAAACAAGATGAACATCAAAAGATTTAGCGGAGGAGCGACATCTGCACCACAAAAAGAGACGCGTGCAGATAAGCAGCTTCAGATGCAGCGTGTGTCAGTAAAGTTGTGTCAGTCTGCTCACCATGTGCGGCTCACTTATTGTGATAACAGGGGCTCCTGTCGGCCCGAGGCCCTGGTTGGTCTCAGGTTGGGGGGTAGGCTCTTCAAACACCTGGGTGTTTGGGAAGATAAAACAATTGAACATAAAAACAATCTGCAGGATTTAAAGTGCTAATATCATAGAATTGATGTAACTATTTACCTGTATGTCCCCCTCTGGATCATCATTTTCATCTGGGCTACTTGAATCTTTTTCATCTGGATTCTCTATATCCTCCTCGTCACCCTCCTCATCATCATCATCTTCATCTTCCTCCTCCTCCTCCTCATCCCCCTCCTCCTCATCCTCATCCTCACCTCCCTCCTCACGTACTGACTTTTGTCTTTGGTCTCTTGACTTTCGCCTCCAGAGTCTGCTGTGACGCTGCTGGCTAGAAATGAGGAAGGAACATATTTCACAATCCTCACATGAGCACCCAAATAAATACCTCAGAAGCCACAAACAGCGGCAAATTCAAGAAACGCTTAAATGTTCATGTCTGCAAAGCTTTTGCCACACAGATTAATCATTTTGGAGTATGGACCTTTGTACAGCACTAGGCCTAACACCATGCCTGACCTCGCATTTAGGATGCCGTTGTAAGTCTGCAGCTGTTTCGTGAAGCCTTCGTTGGGCTTGATGATGGACCGGCAATCCCTAACATAGGCCAACGCCATATCCAGAGTCCAGCGATGCTGCTTCATGGCGTAGGCAATCACCGTGGAAGCGGAGCGAGAAACGCCCATCTTACAGTGCACCAACACGGCCCGTCCTCGTTTCCTGCAGTACACAGAAATCAAGAGAAACTCACTCAGTGGTTCAGAGGTTTTACTTGACAAACATCAGAAGGATAATTAACTGAATGGAAATAAGAGTCAAAACTTTAAAATTGCTGGTGATGCAAAGCTAGGAACAAAGTAAATGATATAAAAGGAGTTGTTCAGCATTTTGAGAAATGAACTCATTTATTTTCTGGCAGAGTTAGATGAGAAGACTGATAGAAATAGTCCAGTAATGAGTGAGCTTTAGAAGTGCTGGTGGGCACATTGTATTACCATTGCACAGAGCTACGCAAGCTGCTTCCAGTCGGTGTGGTACGCTAACAATCTCGTGGGTCCAGCTTCATATTTGGCAGACAGATGTTAGAATGGTGTCAATCTTCTCATCCAACTCTGTTAAACTTTTGCTTTGAAAGGACTGAATCTGCACTGGTCTGCGTAACAACACAGGTGGTCATCAAATCACCTTTTAGTATAAAGGGGGAGTTAGGCCTAGATCAGATCAGTATGTTTGAGCAGCCTGGGGCGGCGTTTAGTAATGGTTTAATGAGAGTGAGGCGTTTTGCACGCTGCTTTTGCATTGCTGAGCGCCTCACGTTTTTGCTGGAGTGCCTTGAATGCCTCGAGTTTCATATTTTTTTTTTAACTCAGAGCAGAAAGCCCGACATCATTGGTGTTTTTTCCTTTTGCTGGACACCCTGAGACCTGTGACTTTACGGTAGTTATCATGATCTGAATAGAAAACAGCAGGCCCCCGAGGCTGTTGTAAACCCGAATCTACTGTTTATGAGTTCACTACTTGTTTTCATTTATTTTAAATTGTACCATTAACTATTAGGTAGCATACATGTCACGGTGATGTGGTTTTAATGCCTAGTAATCGGATCAGGAATGTGCTTAATGACACAAATGTGACAGTGATATGCTTGTCAACAGCTGTAATCTGCAAAGGACTGCACAATGCATTTTCACAAGTTTGTCTTCTAATGTTTGGGGTTTCAGGACTACCTGGCTGTGTTGATGAAGTTGTATGTGTCTGTCCAGTGAGGGAGCAGGTCGCTGGCTTCCACATCGTACAGTCTGATGTTCATATAAGTGAAGGACTCTGGGAAAAAGTTGTCAATTTCCCTCGTCACATTCAGAATGTAGCCCACGCTGAAAAACATACAGACATGAATTTAGAGCCAAAGAGGTGACTCAGCAATACACAATTCAGTATTACCCTTATCACGAGACAATGAGAAATAGACAACAACAACAATACACAGAGCTATAGACAAATGTTGCTGGTGAAAACACTGACTTGTTTTTCTGCAGCTCCTCAATGTTAGCTGCATTCCACTCAGAGCCCTGAAACCAGATAAAGAAGTAGAGGTTCAGGGGACAAACAGCAAAGGGCCGACAGAGTCGTCTTCCCTATCGCTGTCAACACAGCTGTCTCACAAAGGGGAAGCTACGGTCACATGTCAACATCCTGGTGAAGGCTCACTTCCGTCAGTTTATTGACTGAAACATAAGAAAGACTTCTCACCATGCTGGTATAATAAAAGCTCATTACTGTCTTTGAAGCTTTGCAATCACTCACCAGGTAAAGGAAGTCAAATATTTTGGAGGGTTTGTCCATCTGAGCCATGGTGACCAAGATCTCATTGTCGATGTACTCCTTAAAGGGACTCATGTCGAAGCCTATCCTGGTCTCTAGGGCAGAGTGCACCTGCAGTGGAGAAGGAAAGATTCAAATTATACAGGCCAACACACATTCTCTTATTTCTGTAACCTTTTATTTTCTTCCCGTGTGTCTCACCATTTTAGACGTGAGGTTGTCCAGGTCTTCTGTCCTCATGACGTCTCTCAGGTGCTCTTTGATCAGCCCCTCGTTGGAAAGTCTCTCTGCCGAACTACCCGTGCAAGAAAAAGTGAAACTTAAGCACAAGCTGACATGCGTGTGTGCTAGGAATAAAAACAGACGAAAACATTAATTATATTTCCACATTCACAGAAGAGGGGGAATGTAACTAAATATATCATTTACTAAACTTAACTACAGTTTAGAAGTTTACTTACCCGTCTCCATAACTGTCCCTGCGGACCGACTCCAAGTCGTTCAAGACCTCCCACTCGTTGAGGCATAGGCGGTCCGACTCGATGTGCTGGTGGTAGTGCTGGGCCCACTCCAGGCCATTGCCTGGGATCAGCGCTGCATTGACCGCCCGCTCGCAGCACCCGTGCAAAGCCTGCAGCACTGACCTAACAGCGGAGAGGAGGACAGAAGACCATGTGTTTTTGAGGACACTAAAGACAAGAAGCTACAGAAGGTTGAAAATGCAAGATTTAAAGAGAGGTAAGGCATGTAGTTGTTGATGAGGTGCTTTAGGATGTGATGTGCTGGACGTCATATTCATTAACATATACATTAACGTTTTAACTTAACTCACCACATGGTCTGCATGGAAACAGGCTTAAAAATTCTGATATCTTCAGCTGTGGTCACGCTAAAACCGCTAAAAAAAGAGAGAAATAAAGAAGTATGAGCTACAATTCTAAGAATGGATAACAGAACTGAGGAAGTAACACTGATAAGAAGCGTCACTGGACTAAAAGGAAGAAGGCAGAAAGGTTATTCAGTGTAACTTAATGAAGACTCTTGTAAAGAACGTGGTGAAGGAAAATGTGAGGACAGCGAGTTGGAAGCGTGAACCATCCCGATGAGGGCGAACATGCTGGTGTGACATGGCAGCAGATCAGAGCATCTTATTTTGACAGTCTGCATGTGAAAGCAGATTAGTTGAAACGCAGCGGTCCACAGCAGAACTCGACTGTTTTTAGAGCTGCCAGCTCTCAGTTCCACATCCTCCTCTAAGCATCGACGGCTAAGAAAAACACTGTAATGAGTGACTACAAGCCAAAAAAACACTCTAAATCATTCTAATCAAAGCATAGCTGGATGTTATGGTCACAAAGATTTTCACTAAAAAATGAGTTGGAGTGGACATTTGGGGTTCTGGATGCACTATAACCCGCTAAACTCTCACTAACCTTTTCCTTACCGACACAGAAAGAAGCTAACCGTACTTTACTTTCATTTCATTGCAGAAACACATGATATCCAAGCTTATGTAAGGGTCTGAGTGACGGATAGGAGCAGTTGTAATTCACGGAGAATGATTCAGCTCCATAAATAGAGATGATTACGCATTCACATTATCTCTGGCCAGATTCCCAGACATCAGCCTGCACCGTCTGTGCTGCAACCTCACAAACTCCTTGCTTGTTCGTTTACAGTTTCAATTTATTCCCCATTCCCCTTTAAAAAAAAAAAAAAAAAAAAAAAAAAAGATTTCATACCCGTCTCCGTCCAGATACACTTGTGTGTCGCTCCATACTGGCAGAACCAGGCCGATGGTGCACTGATCGCTGCAAAGAGGGCGCAGAAACACAAGACCATGAAATACATTTGACTTTACAAGGCTAAACCAGAAATTATTAACGGAATGGAAATCTTATCTTTGGGACACAGTACACCTGCGTATCTTGGTTACACACACCTGTCTGGGTTGGGGAAATCCATGCCCAGCAGGGTGCTCTCTTGTTTGTTGCCAAGGGTGGAGACAACGATCAGATACCTGACTCTGACCGAGCTGACGGACTCCAACTGCACCGCCTACATGACAGCGTACAGAGGACGAGAGCAGCACAAAGGATGTGCGGAACAGAGAGGAGACAAAAGGGAGGGCAAGAGGAGTGAGGCCCAGAACAATTCATGTATTTTAAATGCAACATGTTGCAGTTTCCTCTGAAGTATAAAGTTACCTAATTAAACTAAATAAACCTGATAACACACAGTGAAAAATATCCTGTGCAGTATAGTTTCTTTGGCCTTCCTGGTAAAATCAAATCAGAAAAGTCAATGTTGTGTTTACAGAGAAACACAGATACTGGTTATAGTCCACTTAAAGGACCACATCTGTTCTATTTTCACATGTTTTGGCCCATTAATTCCACATCCTAGCAAACAATAACATCTTTATTCGACCAAGTTACACATTGATGCAATGGTGACACAGCTGAGAGTAAAGTGGTGTATTCAAATCCTTATGGGAAGCTATTAAACACCTTTACCCGAGATATGATTATGCAGACTGATAGAAAGGATAACAAGCTAAATTCTTTCTGCATGTCATTTTTCCACTGTTACTGATCTGATTTGCAGCATGCAGGTAAACACGAGGCCTCACCAGCTTCACGGTGTCTTCTGGTCGGAGCTGTTGAATCATGGCGTGAAGGTGTCTGCGCCGTCTGTCTGGAGCTCCACCGCCTTCCTTCACAGGAGACGGTGGAGTGGCAAAAGTCTCTTCATCGAGGCTCAACCGGTCGCCCTCTTCCAGCAGAAGGACTGCCCCCTTCACAAGGGCAAAGCTCTCCCTAAAGATGGATAGAGATCAGTTACTATCACGCTGCTGTAATCCACAAAATCATTCTTTTAGGACTGTAATTCAAAGACAACACAGGTGTACATCTACCTTTTCTGAAGTCTCCCTCTTCTTTGGTGGCTTTCATCCTTAAAAAAATCAAGTCAAGTAAATCACAAGAAAGCCTCATCAAGAAGACAAAAATGGAGTTATAGAAATATTTTGCTTTTCTTTGTGTGTGTGTGATTCAGTTTGTCACACTTTTTTTGCTTCAATGAAAATTTCATCCCATGGTATGTTCTGTACATTCCAGCAGACTGTACATTTCTGTTGATATATACTACTATTGTAATACACAATATGAGTAAATGTCCGTTTTTAATGTTCCCAAAGCAGCACGTTTCTAACTAGACGAGTACTGAAGTGTTGACACACTAACACATTTTCTGAGAACATTGGAGGCAAGTGTGTGTGTGTGTGTGTGTGTGTGTGTGAGAGAGATGTCTTTCCTGTTGAGAAGTGTGGACACAAAAGGCTGGAAAAAATGTTCAGTAATTCCTCGGGTGAAATGTGGTGCAACACAGATAAGGTGCAGTGGAAGACAGCCACACAGAGTGATATTTAAGCGGAGGGGAAAGGACACTAAGAAGTTCGGGGTAAAAACTGTAAAACTATATTGGTAGTGAAATTATAGAAGGATACGAAGTTAAGGAGAAATACAATGCAAGAGTGGGGAGGGGGGAAGAAACAAGAGAGAGAGAGAGAGAAGTAGCAACAAGGGTTCACAGAGAAAGAAACTTGAGACAGTAACATTACCTGTTACGCAACTGACAAGTCCAGACAGAGTCAAGAGAAAAAAAAAAGAAATTAAAGAGTAGAAGTGGGCAGGAGCCAGGAGAGGAACGATGAGGGTTTGAAGAAGAAGAAAAAAAAGGAGAGAATACAAGTTAAGATAGCAGAGTGATTAGATACTGTGACAAAATATGCAAGAAATGAGACTAGGACCCACAGTCAGGTCATTTATGGTTTAGTCGGCAATGACAGGCCTTGGATGTAAAGTTAAATAATCTTCATGATAGAGTGAAAGAATGACAGAAGATAAAGTGAGAAGACAGTGGCTGATGATACAGTGCTTACATGATTATATGCATCCATTGAAAAGCTACAGAGGCAGTGAGCATTTAGACAGACACGGTGATCCAACCACTGTAATGAATGTGAATGGCACTTTGATGATGAGGACTATATCTGTGGCATGTTAGGCCTGTAAGCCCACCAATGCGGTCACGTCCCTGGCAGCAATTGAAAAACAAAACAGCCTCTTTCTCTTCCAGGCAAACGTAGTGATGAGGGACACATCCAGGAATGTCTGCTCTCTACGCAGAGCGCAGAGCGTCCGGCATCAACAGCTCACATAGTTCTGAATCCCACTTTGTAAATAAAACTTAAAAAAAGAATAAGATATCTTAGGATATGATGCAAAATGCGCCAAACTTGTGTGTACAACACGGCGTGCGGATGAGTGAACTCACAGGAGCGGCGGAGATGGATGGGAGCCTGTGCAGTGTCAACAGAGCCATTGCAGCGTACAGCACTGTCTCCACTAAAGCTGGTGTTGAGGGCAGGCTCAGCAGGTTTCCTCGGCCAAAAGTGTGCCGTGGGCGTGGCCAATAGAGGTATTCTATCTCTGAAATGAAATGTGGATATTGGGGTTTGATTACAACTCATGAATAGGCTTTATATCAGAGACTCCTAAAGAGGCTGAGGAAATGAACTGTCCGCTTCAGGGAGTCCTATGAAGTAGAAGGAGTAGTTTCATAATAGTTTCACTGTTATAGAGGAAGAGTTGGGCAATGTGAGGATACATAACATGGGGTATATGTATTAGTCACATCTCTAGTTGTGTTCGGCCATCCTTGCTCAATGACCTTATTGGATTTAAAGGATATGTTTGCATCAATGTGGCATGACGTGCCTTGATACTTTGATAATTAAAAACATGTCATAATGTCAATATGTTTATCATACATACAAATACCAAGGTATAAACGATTTCATCCATCATCATGTTTGTCAATTTAATGTCATCCTTTACACTGGAACATTCCTTCAGTGCCACACACTTGTATTGAGTGCTTATTGTAGACTATAAAAATAACCAAAAGATTAAACAACCTAAATTACTAATTTAGTTCCTTCTTGCGCTTGTTGCATAGGGTGTAATGCTTGTTGATTAAGCATATAAGGAGCTGTCTCTCAGGTCATCAAGCAGAGTAATATTAGCCATTATAAATCTTAAGTTATATATATTGATCTTCTCCTAAAGGGGTTGTGTGGACTGCTGCCCATCTAACAGACACGGCTTTAGCTCGTGACATGCAGACACTACACTCAAGTGGGTAAAAACAAAGAAGTGGTTTGATCCTCACTGACGAGCTGACCGCGGTTCGTTACTGCAACCACAAACCAGCAGCTAGCCTCTTACAACCAGTCCAAGCTAACAGCTGACGCTAACGTTAGCTGCCGCAAACATGAATATCCACACATTTCTATTTCCTCACCTTTTCCAGACCGGGACCCCAGATCTTATTTCCTGCTTTCAAGTCTACTTGTTTGTTTCCTCGAGTGTCGAGTGCTCCTTTATTCCGCCCTCTGTCGCATGTGAGGGAGAAGTCTTCACCGTCTTACAGCTCTGCGGCTGCACCATGGGCTGCACTAGAGGAGTGATTACACCACTGAAGCAGCTCGAGCGCGAGGACGTGAAGGTCCGGAAGTGGACAATGACGTCAGACGCAAAGACAGTGTTTGGGGCACGTTGACCCCATAAACGATCCACTTGCCACAAACAATAACAAAAGGGCTTATTTGAAAAAATATTTAATTTAGTTACAGTTTTGGGATTTCAAGCTGGTTTATATAAGACGTACTTTATACAACATTGTCCCCTCCTACTTTTTTACACGATCCCAGGAAGTGAAATCGGGGAAATGTAAACTTGTCCTTACTCGGATGTGATGTTGGGGGAGAATAACAAGATAATAAAACAGCCTTTTACGACTATTTAACAACTGATATCCTAATAGAGAAGACGAATTTTTAAAATGTTGTATCTGACATTAAATTGGACAGTTAATTAGTGTAAGAATATCAATAAAATACGTCCTTCAGAGAAGATTATACAACCACCGGACCAACCGTCTACTCTCCACGCGCATGCGCAGTACTATGGAATCAAGTACTTCCTGATGTCCTGTGGAGGAAAGTGGAGTTTTCTCACAGTGTTGAGCTAAACGTTCAAGGTTAAAATCTGTCTGTGTTGACTGCGTGGACGTCCGTCCTCCCCTCATAGTTCTACTGTCTTCTGTCCGGAGAGGACATCACTCCATTTCGACCGTTAAATGAGATGCAGACAGTTGGAAAACTCATGAAAGTATTCGTCACGAGGCGCATCCCGCAGGAGGGGATGAAGATCCTGTCAGCGGCTGGAGTGTATGCACGTTTGTAGCTTCTGTAGTTTCACACATATCCATCGCTACAGTCATCTTCATCGGCCAGCCTTTATCTCTAAATCCATCTCGTGCATTTGGTCCCTTTCGGTCTCTAAACAGGTGCGAGGTGTCTCTGTGGGACTCTGATGAACCCGTGCAGAGGGCAGAGCTTCTCAAAGGTGTGCAGGGGGCTCATGGTCTGCTGTGTCTGCTGTCGGACAAGATCGATGCAGAGGTTCTGGATGCAGCAGGTACTCGTAATGTGTGTGTGTGTGTGTGTGTGTGTGTGAAACTGGGCCATTGTACTGATCAATCCATATATTTATTTTATTTCAGCAGGTAGTGATATGATACAGGCTGTCCTGGGTACATAGTTAAATAATAACCACAATAACTTTATTTATATAGCACTTTTTGAAACAAAGTAAAACAGTGCTTCACAGTATTCCAGACATAAAATATAAAACAAGATAAAAAAATATATAAACAACTACAAACAATGCCCTCAATTAAGAAAAAGCTGTACGATAATAGTGAGTTTCAATAAGAGATTTAAAAGAGGATCTTATATAAGATATTACCAGAGCCTATAGTATTTTGGGGGTATTTTTATGCTTTTATTACAGATGGTAGTAGAGAAATGAAGACAGAGAGAGGCACCAAAGGTCCCCACTTCACTCTTCACCCCTAAGCTACCAGCCTCTACTTTGATTTAACAATTTAAGACAATGAAACATGAACAATTCTAATGATGTGAAACAGAGAAAGCAACACATTCAAACAACCAGAGTTTCTTTGCATAGTGAAATATTATATAATTATTAATTGATTATCCAAATTGTTGAAGATTATCTCTTTTTGATGAGCTAATTGATCAATCCACTAATGATTTCAGCTCTAATTAAAACATATCAAACATTAAGTGTCTAGATTGAAGTGTTTCATCTGGTCTGTCTGTGATTCCAGGGCCAAACCTGAAAGTAATCAGCACCCTGTCCGTGGGATTTGACCACTTGGCACTTGACGAAGTCAAAAAACGGTAGCTCATGTTTATTAAAATATCCTTCCACCAGTAGGGTGATGTGTCAAGTGGCCTCTGAGTTAAATTGGTGTCCATTTCCAACAGTGGTATACGTGTTGGATACACTCCAGACGTCCTGACTGACGCCACAGCAGAACTGACCGTAGGTCTGCTGCTGGCCACTGCTCGCAGATTACCAGAGGGAGTGGAGGAGGTCAAAAAGTCAGTCTCACCAAGTTCCACATTCACACTAATCACTGTCAAATTTGATTGAGTGACACAGTGGTCATATAGTCTTGTCCTTTCTCTCTCAGTGGAGGCTGGAGCTCATGGAAGCCTCTCTGGCTGTGTGGTTATGGTCTGTCTGGCAGCACAGTAGGAGTCATTGGCTTGGGACGCATTGGTAAGGCTTGATGTTGCTGCTTCATTTACTTTGACACGTTAAATTCATGATAATAGGATATATATCATATGACTTGATACTGTAGCCAAATCCAGTGTTGTCACACCTAACCCCGACAAAGTTAGGGCTGGTCGGTGAACTGGTTGTGCTTGTGTTCAGGCATGGCCATTGCTCGGAGACTCATGCCCTTTGGAGTGAACAGGCTGCTGTACTCTGGGAGAACAGCCAAAGCCTACGCTGCTGAGGTGAAAGGAGAGTTTGGTAAGAAAAAGGAGAGAAACGTACACAGTGAAAGGATGACAGAAGAAGTGAAAATCAAATAAGATTATAAAACTATGAGGGTTTTGGTTAGACGGTCTGTGTATTTGATGTGTTTCCTCTTTTGTTCCTCCTGCTCTCCTCTGTTGGACAGTTCCCCTGGACACACTCCTGTCTGAGAGTGACTTCATTGTTGTTTCCTGCTCCCTGACGCCAGAAACCCTGGGCTTGTGTGACAAGGCCTTCTTCAGCAAGATGAAAAACACGGCAGTCTTCGTCAACTCAAGCAGGTGAACTTCCAAAGCAGCGCAAACATGGGAAAAGCATGGGTTTGGATGGGTGTGTAAAAGATGTCATGTATTTCTGACTCCGGCTGTGTTTGCGGTTAAAATACGTAAAGATGAAGATGTGGTGAATTACTGGTTTTAGGGGAACTGTGGTGAACCAGGAGGATCTGTACGAGGCTTTGAGCAGCGGACAGATAGCTGCAGCTGGACTAGACGTCACAACACCTGAGCCACTCCCAACACACCACCCTCTTCTGACGTTAAAAAACTGTGGTGAGTGGACAGGATGTGAAGCCTCTTTTCCCACTTGACCTCCTTGCGATTGTCTTTTTAATGGAATTGTCTGTCCTCTCCTTTCTTATACAGTGGTGTTGCCACATATCGGCAGTGCCACCTACTCCACGAGAGGCATCATGGGAGCTTTGTCAGCTCAAAACCTGCTGGGAGGTTTGCAGGGCACAGACATGCCCAGCGAACTCACCTTCTAGCCCCTGAAACTGCTGCGCTGTGCCTACTGCCTCCTCTGGTGCTGCAGTAACAGATACAAGTAATGTGCTGGTAATGATCTCCTATGTGAGGTCAAAATGAAGGGATGGAAAAAGAAGAATTCTAATGTAGTTTAGGTAATGCTCAGATACATGTGTACATCATGTCGGTGTTAACTTGATTTAGTTTCATCCTGTCACAGGTACTGAGTTTTATTATACAGTGGGCATTTTTGAGGAATGAAATGCTCGCTGGAAGGTTTTGTCATCTCAGACGTGTACATTCAAGTTCTCCAAAAAGAGACTAATGAACAAACTAGCAGCACTCCTTAATATTAGCTCTTATCAGAACACACTATACATGCTTAGAATGGCAGTTACACTGAAAAAAAACATTTCTCATGTTCTGCTTGCCATAAAGGTTAGCGTTATACCTCTTAGTTTGCACTTTATTCAGATGTAAATGGTGTCAATCATGCTACAAAACAGTACAACGCTCCAGTTCTGTGTAAAATGTGATTTCTCTGAATAATAAAAAGTTATGGCCCAGTTAAAATGTAATGCTGAGTGTGTGTGTTTAGAAATGTATCATGCTCAAAATAGATTGATGATCAATAAAAAATACAATAAATAATTTATTATTTTATCACTCAATGTCATTTTTTAGCACCAGTCAAGGAGGATATTTTCAGTGCATTCACATCAGTTTGGCAACATTTGTATTTGTTCCGTTTTATGGAATCATTTTCAACAAACAACATGGTTGAGAACATTAAAAACATTAAAAATGTAAGCATTACATTAGCGAATTGACTTTGAATTCATGTTGCATAAAATCCAAAATGAATCAGGGAAGTGTGTTGGGTAATAAATAATCTAGTTCACAGAGTACATTTTTTCAAAGAATTGCATTGAGTCGTGCGACTCCAGCGTCTGTAAGGTGAGTGCAGGTCACAGCAGGGTATCTGCGAAACATGGATCCTCTTTCCAGTTCAGGCAGGTATTTTTCGAGTGCTTATACAGATGAGAGGACTGGCTGAAGCGTTTGCCACACTTTGGACAGGGGTAGGGCTTTTCTCCCGTGTGGACCCGAATGTGTTTCTTACAGTCAGTCAGGTTCATGAAGGTCTTACAGCAGATTTTGCATGCGTACTTCTTCTCCCCTTCCACCAACAGCACGAGGTCTTCAGCAGCTGCTTTCTTGCACTTGGACAGAACGTCCTCTGAAGCTCTGGTGAGAAACGGCCGTTCAGCAGCGTCCCCCGCCGATGCCGAGGAACCATCTGTGCCTGCTTCTGATCCGGGTGGCACTTTAGGGGCGATGCGACGGAAGGTTGTTGCCCCTGAGCTTTTCCCGGCCCTGGAGGGTTGGATGAGGGAGGTTTCCAGACCAAGGCCTGGTCTGATGCCACTCAGGAACCCTGCTAAAGAGTTCTGGCTGGGCTGGAGGATGAGTGTGTCACTGAAACCAGGGCCCTGAGTTGGGAGAAGCTGCTGCAAGGGGACAGGGGTTACTGGGAAAACGAGTGAGGAATCAGAACACTGAGCAGAAGAGACTTCTTCTGAATTTTGATACAGCTCCCCAGTATCTCCAGCAGCTGCAGGAGCATCACTGGCAGTGGCGGCAGCGGTAGCGGCAGCAGTGAGGCTAGCTAGGCTGTCTTCTTCCTCCAAAGCTCCCAGTACACTTTCACTACTGGGATTGAGGAAGCAGGAAAAGGCAAGTTCTGACAGGCTGTCTAGGCCTTCACTGTCTACTGACCCGTCACCCAAATGTCCAGCCTCTCTCTGTGCGTCGGTTTGAAGATCTGCGCACAGCTGAGATTGTAAAGAGCTAACATCACACTCGGTTGGGCAGACTGTGGCCATTTTCTCCTCATTTAGTTGTGCGTCAAAATGGTCTGTGCAGTCTTGTGGTGGAGATAGAGGAGAATTGTTTGCAAGACCTGGGGAGTATGAGGTCAGGTTTTCCTTTTTCACCTCAATCATCAACTTTGGCTCGTCTCCCTCCTCCTCCCCTTCTTCTCCCACCTTTACTTTAACCACGGTGTCTCCCTCTGTATCTCCACCCTTCTTCCACGCAGCTACACCTCCCATGCTGCAGTCCGATTGGCTCGGCAGCTGGATCTCCTCCGACTCTCCCTTAGTTGCTTCATATTTCTCCTCCACCTCCTCCTCCTCCTCCTCGCCTCGGCTCTCCCAGAGTCCGTACGTGGTCTTCAGGCAGTCTGGGGACAGCAGCTCCTCTCCACCCTCCTCTGCACTGACGGTGCTTCTAGTTACAGTAGGTGAACACTCCTTATAGTTTCCCTCAGCCAGCCTGTAGGACCTCTTTCTGCCACCGAGCCCATCCTCGTCAGACTTCCTCTTGTGCCTCAAAGATGGCGCAGCACTCTGCTCCCCACTGATTTGACACCTCATCCCCTGGTCTTCAACCCCACCAGACTGACTAACCTCCACTCCCACTTCCTCCTCATCCATGTACTCCTCCATGACAGATGTGGCCTGTTGCAGCAAGGCCGACGATGGATGCTGCTGCTGCTGTTGTTGCACTGACCTCCAGCCTTTCGGGGGCGATGCAGGAAAGTTTTGCCTGGACAGGTGGAGCTTGCAGGCCTTGACCACAGTGTTGAGATGCAGGTGTGATGCCGCCAACAGCACATCCATCACGTTGGAGGCCCCCGGAGAGAGCGTGGAGGTGTAAATCATGTCGAGCAAGGTGGAGAAGGCCTCTGGGGTCACCACCTCCGGATCTAGCTCCATCACACTGGGGCCCCCGCCTCCACCTAAGTCAGCTCCTGGTCTGCCCACCTCATCACCACTGTCATTGGAGCTCAGAAGAGCCCTGAAGTGGGAGCTGCATGCGGCCAGGATGGAGCTGTGAGCCTGGAAGCTCTGGCCTCCAACCACCACGACGCAGTCACACAGCTGAGCATGGAGGCGCTGGTGGTTGAGCTGCTTGAAAATATGCTGGAAATGACCTGGAAAGTCCATAATAGGCGGTGGGGTGTGTTGTTATTTAATAGAACACGTGTTATTTTGCAGCATCCGTTCCGCTATTTGCAATACAATAACACAACGGTCATTGTCAGGAACAACGCTGTCAAACGCTTGTTTTTATCTGCTGAAAATGTCATCCGGCTGACAGGACGGTGACATTTCTCAGGAGCCTACCTCCGACGTGAAATGTATTGTCTGTTGTTGTCGCAGGGTTTCCGACAGATGCTCTGGAGAATGGGCGGGCCTGGTCCAACAAAGGATGCGGCGCGGTCTCAAGCTTTGTCTCCGAGAACAGCCGGATATCTGCACAGCGGTTCTTTTCCTGCTAACTCAAATATAATATCCAAAATTGTACCTTTTTTTTTTTTATGGTTACTATTCATGTTACTGTTTCAGAGCGCTCACACCATCAGCGGGTTTAGCCTCCACTGTCGACGCCTCCATCGTTTGTCTCGTTCAGCTTCAGAATAACACGACACCGCCCCCAGGTGATGATCTTCTGAAAGTGTATTTAAATTTAGGTACACCTTTTCATAGCTGGTAAAAACTAGCTGATTAAATAATATTGTAATGATTCCTGCACACTGCAAGTCAGATATATTTTACTATGTTTTGTACATTTCAACCTTTATTATTAAAAGGTAAATTGTAAAGTGTGCTTGTACTAATTAAGATTCCAATTCTGAACTGACAGTTTGCCAATTGATACTGTTTTAAATGTTAGAGCACCCTAAGACCATCAGCAGCCATCACGGGAGTTACTGAGAAATTTACATTGAAGACACAAACTGTCTTTGAGCAGTATGGCCTACACTATAAATACCAGTAATCATGACAGGTTAATAAATGACATGCATTTAAAGGCCAATCCTAAAGTTGAATAGTAGAGGGTATCAGAAAATTGTTGTTGCTGCACGTGTCAGTTATAAAGAATATAAGTAAACAGTGAAACACTTCCCAATCCTTTCTTGGTCACCATTTTTATTTTCAGTGATTACATTAAGATTTGAAATTCATTCATGAAAATGTTCGCCTCAACAGTGTACATGTGTAATGCAGTTTGACAGTGTACGTTCAAAGACAGACAAAATAAACATGGTTTCCTTTTAACGTGCGAACACGGCAGGCACACTCGCTCTCAAACTTTGCATTTAACAATAATGACAACGTTTAACAAGAAAGACAGACTAAAGTTTACAAAAAGGAATAAGACAGGGGACATGAGAACAAAGGTGTTTCCTCGGGTGCAGTGATGGACAGACACTGGTTGTCTCCAACACAATTAGCTGCAATGGCCCCAGTTGTCTGCTGCTGATGATCCATACTGTCTGGTGGAGTAAGCGCTCAGTGGATGAGACTTGATGCTCTGCTCATATGCTGTCCAGCTTCTTTAAAACATATGGGGCTGTAAACACAGAAAACACAGATGATTAGATTATTATCTTAATGATATATTTATCTTCTCTGGGATTAAGGCCATTTGGCTAGAGTTGTTGTGAGATAGTGTATACTATACACGACAAATAACCTATATTTTGGTGGTTACTGTAGTGCATACATTGATTATCACATGCACAAGGTGACCAAACACTATTGTAATTATCAGTGAAGCACTCACAACATGTTAGTATTTCGCTAAATGTCAATGTCATCTGCCTGTACTCACTGGCTCTGAGAAGGACGACGTAAAGAAGAAAGTTTCGTAAAGATGAGACGACATCTTGTCGCATTTTCCTCTTCATCTCCTCTGGGTCCATTTTAGGGCCGAGTCCTTCAAGTTTGAACATTATCGCTGTGGTTTAACTGGGTTTTGTTCCTCGGTCTGCCTTTCGTGTTGAGAATTCACCGTCTCAGGAGTGTGCGTGAAATAATCTACACCGGAAGTACGTACAACGGAAGTCGCGAAGTTCGACGGTGCGCATGGAGGGACAAATCAAAAAGGCAAAAATTAAATGTCCGCCCCCTAGTATTGATTTAGTTAAATATGGCAGAAATATATGATTTTACTGTTTTTATTTAAATTTGGTTGGTTTAAAAATGAATCTGTATCCCTTGAATAATTCGTGTTCATGTTCTGTCCTGTAAATATTAAGGATGCGTACGTCCTGTTAGGGGGGAGGAAACACTATGGTCGTATCCACTAGTATTACAGGGAGTCCGACTCTGCAAACCAAAGCATTTAATTATTGAGGAAAATCACTTTAAAAATGTATTTTGGATGTGGTCAGATCAATAAACTAGGGTAAAGTTTGACAAATAAATTTAGGACTATGCACATTTATATATTGACATGGGGTCTCACAAGACAGCAATGCAGGATCCACTATGAGGACTTTATCATTTGAGTTTATATTGTGATTAAGTGGTGCAGAATGCCCAACAAATTTATAATTAATTAAATTACCACAGACCAGCTGACACATAATGGATATTGGGCCTATGGGGCATCTGGGGCTCCTGGGGCAGTTTTCTCACTTTGCCGGGTGGGTATTCAAGCCCTGCTTTGGTTTTGGAATCATGGTGTTCATTGAATCAAGGGGATAAAATGATGTAAAATATGTTGTTGAACTGAATCAATTCCAACTTAATTTTATTCCACCACATCAGACATGGTGAATTCCTTATAAATAAACATAAAAAGTAGATTATTATTATAATCATGAGTATTGTTATTATTACTTTTATTATGATTATGATTATTCTTTTTGTTACTGTATGTTGGATGAGCTGACCTTGCGGAGGAGGGTGGGGGTCCTCCGGGCAGACAGCGGAGGAGGCAGGGATGAGAGAGACGAACAGAGGGAGGGGGTGGGTTATTTCTGAGCTCAGGGCCGAGGATTAGGCAGCGAGCAGTCCCAGTACGATGACAGCATCCAGCATATAGCCAAACCCCCCACACCACATCACCACCATCATCCAGCCCGGGTGGACGCCGCGGATATTTTTGAGAATCAAACATCGTTTCCCTTCAAATTCTCCGCATCGCTGCTCTTTTTGGGGGATAACCATCCCAGACTCCCGGTCCGTCTGTCTCCTACTCAGACGCACTAGGTGAGTTTTCTCGGTATTTCCCAGTGTTATTGTCTGATGAAGGAGCGCCCGGCTGTTCACGGAGCCGCCTGCACCTTGCATCCATTCCTGCCGTTTGGACTGATTTTTTTTTATCACAGCGAAATGAATGATTTAAACTGACGGTCGTTTTCACAACGCCTGCAGGCTACACCCATGTCCCCGTTTGAGGGAGGCGGTGGAGAGATTTAAATCCGATTAAGATTATAAAGGTAACAAAAGACTGACCTTTTTTTTCTTTGTTTAGCCCCCTGGTTTGACCGGCATGGCTGTGCCAGTGATCAGAGTTAGTGTTTGGTCAGTGCGATGGTAAATATTGATTATTAAAAAGGTCATCAATAACGCATTTACGAGCGATAGACACGGTCAATAGCATACTCTAGTTCATTCTATTATTGGGAATATACATCGCAAGGCTACTGTACAGAATTACAGTCAACATTCTGGCCATTTTTGTGACACGCTGAATGGCATTCATTCTACATCATGAACACACGTCTTATGTAGCGATAGTGGAGAGCCATGCTGCCGTATGCGCAGTGAAATCACCGTCGCTGGCTACAGATTGGGAACGAACGGACTAAAATCCTGCCGGATCAGGGGGCTACCGGGAGTCTGGGTAGTAAAACACGCACATTATGAATGGGCGTAGGCGATGTGTGCAGCCACCCCGGGACAGTCGCTTCTCCTTCTATTTCTTTGCTCATATCCTTCGGCCAGCAGCATGCCTCTTTTCTTGCGCTCTCCCGTGCCGTGCCGGGCATGACAAGCGCAACACAACTAGACCGGAACAATGCGTTTTGCTGTTCTGGGGCCTTCATTTAATGCATGACATGATTTAATATGACCGCTGGTTACGGTTCCATTTAAACACGTGTTATACGGCGGCCTTAACTGTGCATAGAGACATCACTTTAGTGAATCATTGCTTGTCTTTTTTAACAGCATCATTTGCATCTAAACACACACACACACACACACACACACACACACACACACACACACACA